AGTACCTGGTGCCAGCTTCTGTCTTAGTTAGGGTTTTTATTGCTGTGAAGAGACACCATGACCACAGCAACTCTTAAGAAGTAAAACATTTAATTGGGTTAAACTCACTCACAGTTTTAGAACTTCAGTATATTGTCATCCTGGGGGAGCATGGCTATATGGGCAGATATGGTTCTGGAGCTGGGAGTCATTACATCTTGACTCAGAGACAACAGGAAGTCGACTCATGATGGAACATCTTTAAGAACAAAATTATAATAATGAGAAGATATTATTTGAATTCATTTTTAGTTTTAGAATTCAACGGCGATTCAGTTCATAAAATAAAAATCTTTAGTTATAATAAATTAATATGAAATGATAGCAATTGCCATCATTGTAAAGATAAGAAACAGGTGTATAAACTGGGCAGTGGTGGTGCATGCCTTTAATCCCAGCACTTGGGAGGCAGAGGCAGGTGGATTTCTGTGAGTTCGAGGCCAGCCTGGTTTACAAGAGCTAGTTCCAGGACAGGCTCAATAGCTACCGTGAAACCCTGTCTCGAAAAACAAAAAGCAAACCAACAAAAGAAACAGGTATATAAATGCGTCCTAGTACAACACCCTGCATATTCACTCTGTTTCCCCATAATTTCACTCGTGATGCCCCCTTTGCATGTCTGTATGCTGACTACCTGGTTACATGCTAACGCACTTATTAGCTTAGCTGTCTTCACACCAAACACATGCATGGTTTCACACCAGGTTTAGAGTATTAGAACACTCAAACACTCTGAACCGGCCTGAACTGAATCCTACCAGGTAATTTTGTCACCTGCTGCTTTCTTCTTTCTCGGTTTAAGGAATTCCTTGTCTTTTTTTTTTTTTTTGAGATGTTCAGGGAAATGTATGTATCCAGGTTTCATTCATCTAGGAATGACTCCACCTTGCCATCATTTCTAAAGAGGTGCTGTAATAGGTACAGTATTTTTGATATATAGGTTTGATTTCTCCATGATCCCATGAAAAATAACCTTTCTGTTGAGAAATAAGGCATCTCATGCATTGAATAACCCTTCCTGCCTGCTATTTGTTTCTTTATTTGTTCTGACGTTGGAGTCTTCTGTTTTATCTTTAACCTTTGAAAAACTCCCTTTAACTCCTGTCGTGTGTTTGGGGAAACTGACTATAATTACAGTACACTCTTTTGAGTTGAGGCAGACTACGACTTTTGACCTGAGTGTCTGATTTCATCTCTATGTTTAGGGAATTTCCTTTTACAACTCTGGCAAGCTTTCCCTTTGATATTCACAAGTTCCCCTGAGCCCTGGCAAGTTGAATATTTCTCTTCTCATGTTACCCAACAAATCCCACACTCTCCTCATTCTTCCTTCTTTTTAACTTCTCTCTATTTCCAAGTAGCCTGTCTTCACTCCCATTATTCTTTCTCCTGTTGGGTCTATTTTGTTCTTGGTGCCTTTCATTGTGTTTTAAGTTTTGCTTAATGTATTATTCACCCCAAAGATTTTAGTTGTGTTGTTAAAAACTGCCTCCATGTTTCTGTGAAATTCCTTTGTTAGAGTATTGTATCATTTCTCTGTGTTTTCTGGAAGCTCATTGGGTTTACTGAAACATCTCTCTTTGAGGAATCCACTAAGAGCTAAGAAATTAAGTCCACTAAGAAATGGACTAATGTAGTCAATTTCTGGCATCATATTTTGAACGCTAGATGAGATCACAAACTTCTGGCAGTTCCTACTGATGTGATGTCTTAGGGGTTCTATTGCTGCCATGAAACTTCATGACCAAAACACAAGTTGGGGAGGAAAGGTTTCATTAAGCTTACACTTCAGCACAGCTGTTCATCACTGAAGGAAGTCAGGACAGGAACTCAAACAGGGCAGGATCCCAGAGGCAGGAGCTGATGCAGAGACCATGGAGGGGAGTTGCTTACTGGTTTGCTTCCCAGGCTTGCTCAGCCCACCTTCTCACAGAACCTAGAACCAGTAACCTAGGGAGGGCACCATTCACCATGGGCTGGTCTCTCCTCCATTGATTGCTAAATGAGAAAATGCTTTACAGCTGGATCTCAAGGAAGCATTTCCTCAGAGGCTCCTTCCTCTGATGGCTCTATGTCAAGCTTGTGTCAAGTTGACACACAAAACCAGCCAGTACAGTGTGCAATGCTGTCCGCACATTTAAGAGACAGGTATCTATATGTACCTGTTTTTTTGTTTGTTTGTTTTATAGTTTTTATTTTTTGTTGTTGTATCGTTTTTATTGTATGGTTTTGTTTGGGCCTGCTTCTTTCCCCAAGTCTAAAGTGACTTTCGCTATTTTATCACTAGATGGCACTAATATATTGTTGAAGTCTCACTGTTGGTGTGTTATTATATTTCAACACTAGAGGGAAACATAGCTCAGTTTTGTTCCAAACCCTAAATTGGCCATAGAATGAATCAAATAGTGCCTAAAAAAGGTGCTGTGTTCCCACAGCCTTCCCCTTGGTTGAGGTAGATCAGAGGTTTTGTCCACAGTCCCTGACCTATAGTTAGACTATGGGAATCTGCTCAGTTCCTGGAAAATTTACTGTGGAAGGATCAACTTTAAGTTCTCAAGCCACAGTTTAGCGCTTGTCTTCCTTTACATTCTCTAAGTGGAAAGTATTCTGTCCATGTTATGCTGTTTGGACTTTTGGAAAAGTTGCAATGAGCAGTTAGTTATGTGATCACTGATACTAGAATGTTGGCTCATAACCTCAGCCCAAATTCAAAGCCTATTGAGACAGTGCAGCACCCATGCAAGATCCGGGATCACACTGCTGTATACTGCCAGTTGTTCGGGTAGACTCATCACTTCCAGACTATAATAACCAGCTACAGTGATGTAGGTGGAGTCTTTTGTCAGGACTGCAATCAGCTCTGTTCCTCCCCAAATAACTACTTAGAGACTTATTATTAATTATAAATGCTTGGCTGATAACTCAGGCTTATTACTAACTGGCTCTTACAACTTAAATTAACCCATTTCTATGAACTTATTTTCTACCCCCAAGGCTTGGGGTTTTAGTTTCTGTCTGGTGAGTGTTTCACTGAAGCAAGCCCTGGCCCTGGACTAGAATGCAAAGCCTTGTAGTAACTCTCCTGCTCTACAATGTGCTGGCTTCTTCCTCTGCTCCTCACAGTTAAGGGAGAGGTGCTGCCTTGGTACCTGTCCCACATGGTTCCAGAGGTTTGTGTGCACTGTCCTAGGGGCAGAGGCTGTGGGGCTCCTGGCGCTGGATTTCACCGTAGGGGCCTGATACTGGGCTTCAAGTCTAAGGACTTGATTCAGTTCCTCCTTCTCCCCTCCGCAGGGTGTTCATTGCTTAGAGCTGGCAGAGGGAGTACACAGGCAATTCTTCTTGTCTTCTTCAACATGTCTTTCCCTCTTACCTTCTGAAATTAGGTGCTAATGTGCTTTCTCTCCTGACTCCCTTAGCTCTTGAAGTGCAGTGCACAAATACCATTCAAACTGATGATGCATCAGTTGAGAAGACATCGCTAGTCGATTCATCACCGTGCTCTATGTCTGTGTTCTACAGACATATGGGACGCAGGTTTTGATGGACTGAGATTGGTTGTAAAGACACTGAGAGAACGAAAGCAGCAGAAACAAGTGATAAAATCAGATCGATATTTCTTTCTTTACTTAAAAGACTGGGTAGGGTGACAAACAGTAGGAAAATGACTGATGGGTTAATGTGAAGACCCTTTAGGCCTTTATCTTTGCATAAGGATCAAACTAGGAGTTACTTCATTAGTAGCCCATTGAAACTAGCCTGTTTGAGAAGTTCAGCTGTCTCATTTCTTTTGGGTTCTTAGTTCAATGACTTGAAGATTTAGCTTGGATGACTCCATTTCTAGTTTAGCCTGATCTGTTGAGAGCCAGTTTGGAAGCCTGGTCCAAAACAGTATCCTTCTACAGTTTCATAGAGCAACTGAGATATACATGTCAGTTTGAGAGTCTATGGAACACTGTGGTAAGTGGAACACACAGCTCAGCATTAATGAAATAAATTAGGATTATAGCTAGAAATTGATGTCCAGACAGGTGTAGGGGGACAGTGCAGAATGAAAAGAGAGAGAAAAGGAAGGGACTAACTACAGCCTTGGAGACTCCCCACACTTAAAAGCTGGAGGAACAAGTGAACAAAATGTCTGAGCTGCTATGATAGAAAGATCTAAGGAAGCTGAAGATGTAGAGGCAGGGAGAGGAGAGGGTGTCCCCAGGAGGGCCCGTGGGAAACTAAGCTGAATAGGAGCCAGTGACTGGGACAGACTGAACAGTGCAGGATTTGGCAACAGGGAGATAAATGTCTTCAGTACAGAGTCTACACTGACGTGGGCTGGAGTGTGAGGAAAACAGAGAGCATCACAGTCTGCCCAGAAATCTGGCTTCTCTGAACTCTGCCCTTTGTTTGTTTTCAATTGTGATTTCAACATTGTTATCATTATAGTAGATGACCTCCATGTCTGGAAACCTTCATGATATGGTTATGTATGTTCTGGATATTTGCTAGGTATTGGTAATGCATAGGATTTTAAGGTTTTCATATATTCTTAATTTTATATTGCTTTTGATATGTATTAGTGATTTCTTACATATAGGTTAGATAATTGTTCCTCATAACTCCTCCATTATTTTCTATTTTAGAACTCCATAAATATTCATCTTTCATTATTTCTGAAATGTCTTTAGTGTCACTAAATGTTTTAAAGGATTACTCTGGCAATTTCACTCAAGGCTTGGAGTCCTCCACTGTCCTGTTGGTAGAAGGTTGAGCAGTAATGTTAGTCTGGAGATGCTCTGGACTGTATTGTAACCACTGATTATGGCAGAAGAAGCTCTTACTGAGAAAGAAGACAAAATTTTCCCAGAACGTATGATTTCTTTGGTTGTTATTTTGTATGTAGCCTGTCTTTGTATTAGAATTGCACATATCCATGGTGAGGTAAACTTAATTTTTCTCTATATTCCTAGTTTCCTGCATTTTCCAGCATTACATCAGCTGACTGCCACCCTAGACGACATTCTCATGAGGACCAGGGATCCCGAAGCCATCTTCCCATGCAGTATCACAGAAAATTCTCCATGGATGGGTCACTGAAGGAGCCAATGGGATCACAAAGAGGAGCTCATTCCAGAATGCAGGAGTTTTCAGAGTCCCTTGAGCAGCACCTGTGCCTTCGAACCAAGCACGCTCCTTCTTCGGTATGTGGCAGCACAGGACCGCCGTTATTTACGCCATAGGGAAGGAAGCCAAAGCGCTTGTCTTGTCAGGTTAGAGGAGGCCAACTCTAACTTCTATACTCATAGCTTATGATAAGCACCTTGAAAACACTCAGTGGTTTTTTATGACAATTCAGTATTAAATATCTATTTCATATCAGCTCCAAATAAAGGATATTATACAATGTCATTGCAAAATAAAAATTTTAGAATGCATATTCTTTTATACATTCCCCTTCTTAATAATCTACGTAGTAGTTTTAAGATAGCTGCATTAAATAGTGGCATTTGACAATAAATTTTAAAGCGTGTATATTAAACAGTGGGATTTATCGGTAAATTTATACACATGCACAAACAAAGAGGGAGGTTGAAAAAAGGAAAGAGTTAGAGAGAGAGAGAGAGAGAGAGAGAGAGAGAGAGAGAGAGAGAGAGAGAGATTCTAAACTATTGGGTTTAGCAAAGATGCCAGAATACGGGATGCCAAAATTGAAGGATGTTCAACTCTCTTTTACAAAATGTCGTACTAGTTCTTGTTAACATACAAACATATTTTCATGTAGTCTGTCTCTAGATTACTTTTGCTGTTTAACGCAATATACAAGCTATGAATATAGTTGTACAGTGTGCTGTTAAGGGAATATGAACAAGAAAAAAAACTGTGTTTTCAGTATAGACACCTTCCCTGAATATTTTTGATAGTTTGTTGGTTGAATTCACAAGTGTGGAACTCATGGTTAGGAAAGGTTGACTATGTTACCTTTTGTTTAAAGACCAATTATACTAACTTGTAGATTTCATATTTTTATAAATCAAAGCATAAAAAGAGCCACAAGCTGCATCTGTGGCCTGTTCTTCACCAGTGATGCTAGATCATAATTAATTCCTTTCTTTTCTTCCCTACCCTTCCCTTCTCTCCCTTCCTTCTCATCCTTCTGCTCCTCTTCCTTCTCCTTGTCCTACCCTCCTTTCCTGAGATAGGATCTTGCTGTTAAGGTCCAGCTCTCCTGGAGTCTGCATGATAGCCCAGAATGACCTCAAACACTTTATTCCCCTACCTCGGCCTTCCGAGTGCTGGAATTTCAGGCATATGCCAACTTGTCTGTGTAAATTCTTCTATTTTAGTATTAAAACTCAAATATGAATATTCTGATTTCCAAATAAAAAGTATATCGTTCTGGTAGTTTTTCCAACCTCTTTTTTAGATCGGATGCACATACCCTAAAATCCTTTCAAGTAAAGGGTATGCTCAATGTTAGAACATATCCTTAAAGCTGTATCATTATCAGCCAGCATTAGTCTTGTTACAATTTAGGTTTATTATTTTAAGCATTCTTATTGTGATTTCATACATGCGTATAATATATTTTGATCAAATCTGCCCGCTATTTCCTCCCCTCCAAATCCTTCTCTATCTTCTAACCACTTTCTTTTCAGTTTTCTGTGCTCTCTTTCTCTCCATCTTTGTTTTTAAGAAACTTACTGAGTCTTCTTAGTGCTGCCTCTCGCTTGTTCGCTCTCCCTCTATCCCTGCTCTCTCTCTCTCTCTCTCTCTCTCTCTCTCTCTCTCTCTCTGTGTGTGTGTGTGTGTGGGGGGGGGGGGGGGGGGGGGTGTGTGTGGTGTGTGTGTGGGGTGTGTGTGGGGTGTGTGTGTGTGTGTGTGTGTGTGTGTGTGTGTGAGTAAGTGTAGGACCATCTGCTGATGGAGCATCAGCAGCTTCTTAGGGACCACATCCCTAAGAAAGCTGACTCTTCCTTCTCTAGCAACCATCAGCTGTCAATAGCTCCTCACTTCAGGATGGGGCTTCATGAATCCCTCCCCCGTCCATTGACAGGCTTGATTTTGCTTTTGCAGTCAGTCTCGGTGAGATTGTTATTGATGAGTATTTCTCAGGTAATCTAATCTCAGTGAGAGGAAAGCTAATCTGAGACAAATGCATAAGCCTAAAGGGAAACGAGCGAATAGCTGGCAGTGCAGCGGTACCTCCAACAGGGCTAGATGATAAGGAACTTTGTGGGAGATTTCTTTCATTCTGATGCCCAGGTAATGCAAGAGGAGGGAAAAAGAATTCTCTGGTTTGTTAAGTAGACACATAAATACACACAGACAAGGCAGTTATCAATGCCACTGTTTTGCTCTGAAATGAACTACCTGGGCTTATGTATTTGTCTCACTCCCTGTATGTGGAGTTTCTAGAAGGTAGACTTTATTTACTGCTGTGTATTCTGCTCCCAGGACAACAGTGTGTTCGATATGGTGAAGCACTTACTGTAAATGGCTCCAACACTCCCATCCTAGACAGTCTACTGGAGAATGTTGATTTGGTTGGATGTCCTTCCTAAACACTGCCTTCTTCCCATAGCTCTTACATTAAAATTTAGTAAAAACTCTTCTAACGATTAAAACCTTTGTTAATATGCTAAACTGGGTTGATGTAATTTATTACTAGAAAGTAAGATGCAGAAGTCTGCTACAAAATCAGAGATTTCTTCCAGTTTAGTTGTTGGGACAAACGTGGGACAGGGTCAGTTGCTGGTGCATTTAACCCCTTTCTGATGCTCTTCCAGGGACCCAAGGGCAGGAAGGAGAAAGATGAAAGGCGTTGCCTAGGAACTGACGTGAGCTCCCACAAGACACTGGAGGACAGAGAGAACTCAACAAAGGAAGCGCGTGGAGATGCACTCATGGCTCCCCTGGTTGAAAAGGGGCCTGAATAATGCTGTTTCCACATCTCAGTGGCTGACATCACTGGCTGTTCTGAGACCCAGTTCTTCCTCCAGAATGGCAGCTGGAAGGGGAGTCTACAGATGTTGAGACTAAAGTGGGCAGTTGGAACCGCTGCTTCTCAAGATGACCTGTGCCACCCTCCAGAGGACTCTGGCATTTTACTTGTGTGTGCAATCTGCTTTTTATGTCTTTCTATGGTAAGAAAAAATGTATTTGAATAAAATAAAAGCATTTCTGAAATTGTAAAATGTAGTTTCTAATGAGCCATCTATGTACCAATGCCTTTTCCATATCGGCCTCCCAGATCATCCTAAAAAAATGTCCTTGTTGTCTATAACTTTACGTCCTTATCCCAAGTAATTAAGCTTGTGTAGTAGCCATTACTTAATGAAAATTAGTAATTGGCTTGCCAAGTATTACTGTGAATGTCTTCACACATTACCTAAAACAACCCTTACCACACTGAAGTGAGACCTTGTACTGGGGCTCTCTGAAAGTCAGAACTGAAGGGACACATTAGCTTTCTGGTCACTGCAGAAGAATGCCTGGCATGCAGAACTTCAGTTTAACAGTGTAAGGGTTCTCAATTCCTCATGGAAGACGGCACGGTGGAGTACAGAAAGCCACATTATGGTGTTCAGGAAGCAGAGTAAGACCGGAGTGGTCTTACTTCAAAGACATAGTCTCTCACTCTTAATAACTCGCTTCCTTCCACCACGCCTCACTTTTCAGTCTCCATCACCTCTAAAAACATCACCACCATCTGGGGACAAGGCATCCCTCATGATGCATCCTCAAATCCTAACTCAGAAATGCTCTGGAACGGATTTACCAGGGAGTTGGCACACTTACTAATGAAGGCAGAGAAACGTCGTGATGGGCTGTCTGCAAGCTAAAGAACCAGGTAGTATGGCCAGGCTAAATTCAAAGCTCTGAGGACCAGGGATGCTGCTGGTAATTTTTCTCTGAGTCCTAAGGGCCTGACCCTACCTAGGTACTTGACTTTTTGTGTGGCTGCCTCAAATGCTGTACGAGAAAACTGTCCTGGCAGCCATGATTGTTTCAGAAACTTCAGTCATGGTTCTGATCACCGAAGGACTTTAAGAACCTCAGACACCTCCAATTAGGAACGAGAGGAATGCCTCTCTCACCCAGAGACACTGCACATGCATGAATCTCCCTTTTCCTTTATAAAGAGCAGCAGGCTGGCTCCCATGGAGTAAGTTGACTCTGCAACCCTTTGGGCTGTAGCAGGAGTCCAGATGAAGCCTCTCTTAGATGTTTACATTTCGGCTGCCCTTGATTCCAATCTCAAGCAAAGCAGGCTGAGCTGGTAACACTAGCTGCTGGTGCTCCAGGTGGCTAGCAGCCAGGGGAGGAGCAACAATGTACTTTTTTATGATTTCTATCCAAATCAGTTGACTGGCAACATAGGGATGGTACACCGAGTTAAACCAGCTCGCTGAAAATGAATGGCCCTTTTCCATTTCTTCTTCTTTTTTAATTTGATTATTTCTTTTTTCTTGAGAAGGAAGAGTTTATTTTGGCTTACAGTTACAGAGGAAATAGGGGAGATACAAGGCAGCATGAGAGCAGGCATGGCAGTTAGAATAGGAAGCTGAGAGCTCACATCTTGAATTGCAAGAGCAAAGCAGCGAGGGTGTGCTGGGAACAGGGCAAGATGGCTCTAGGTGATATGCTTCCTCTTGCAAAGCTGCCTTTCCTAAACCTCTTCAGACAGTGCCACCAACTAAAGGCAAAGTGTTCAAATGACAGCCTGTAGGAGCAGTGCCCATTGAAACCACCACAGATGGAGACAGCAAGTTCCTGGGACAGGCTGAATCAGTGAGCCCGGGTTCACAGAGAGACTTTGCCTCTGTTCTATTTCACCTCCTCCCTTCTCTTCCCCATTTCTAAAAACCACCCCTCACTCTATCAACTACCTAAGCACTCAGCTTTCTGGAGCGAAAAAGATGTTTATGTTATGACTTTAATGCTTTGGCTTGTTTTAATTTTGATACAGTTTTTCTATGATATAAAACACTAACATACTAACAGAAAACAAACACATTGAGATCGACAGATTTCAACAGAAAATCAAATTTAATTACAGCTGCTGCTACTGAAGAGTGGTAAAGCAGGTTCTGTGGGGTCTTGATCTCCAAAGAGATGACTGCCCCTACTCCACAGGTACTCTTAACTGCTGAGTCATTTCTAAGACCCCTGGGATGTTTTTTCTTCCTGAACTATGCTCATTAGAATTAACTGTTGACGTGAATTCCTTTTGGAGGCATATTTGACCCAGTTCTGTTTGTTTTAAGATGGCTTGAATTTATCTTTAATGTTGAGAAGTATCAACATAAAATTGAGCTAGTTTTTTTTTTATTATTACATTCAGCACACAGTACATTCCTGGAATTCGGGTATCGGCATCTTTATAGGTTAATTGACACAATGTGTTTAGCCTTTAAAACATTCTGAAGTTTTCATTTGTACATGGTGCCAGGTGACAGAACATTTTCATCAAGTATACTCTGTACTTTAAGTCTATCATGAATTTCCCAGCCCTCCTTCTTTTCATCCTTTCCCCCTTCAGTTAGTTCTCTTCATTCCTCTAGATAGTTTTTGCTTTGACTTTTCCCCAAATTTTTTATTTTAATTTTTTTTATTTTTATTTCTCTTTCCTTCTGTCTGTGGCCAGCACTCACATGTAGAGAGCAGATTCTTTCCACTTGGCCCAATGGCTCAAATACCTGTCTCTTCCAGTAACAGGTTTACCCCCAAATAATACTTACCTAGCTATCTGGGTGTGTGGTTTCAGGGTCACAAAACTCTTCTTTGCTCTACTCTCTTGCTGAGGAACCTGAGGTCTGGAACGCTCTGTGGTTTGCTGGTGTGGAGGAAGAGTTAAGGCCAGAGCCCATTCGCTCCATGACAGAGCTCACTCACTCTCCTCGCGTGAGGCAGGATTTCCCTTTCCCTCTGTGAGCAGGTCAATACTTGGTATGGAAGTGATGTGCATGAAGACAATGAGTCGGGAGTGGGAGAGAAGTTGAGTTTGTTACCGTTTGATTATATTGGTGCCAATTGTCTGAGGCCATCTTTGTAGTCTGGGCTTGAAATGTATAGAACTATTTTATCATTATTTTCATTATTTTCCTTCCTGAGGTGTGTTGTAGGGGAATCCCTCAGCTCTTTGATAATTTCCTGTTTATTTCTTGTCTCCAACTCAAATCTTCAGATTTAAGAGCAGCGTGATTTTCTATTTTATAAAGGAAACTTCTCAAATCTACTACTTATCCCTGATATTGTGGTGGGTCATTTATACAAGGTAATGACAATACATTAGATAATACACAAATGAAGGTAAAACAGGACAAAACAATAGGAAAAAGGTCTAAAAAGCAAAATATTAATTATATTGAGTGGCATTTTTTACTTTAATACAGCTATACTTTCATTCTTTCAATATTAGTATCTTCATAATGTCTTTTAAACATAATGTTATGCTTTTAGGGTTGTGTATGTGTGTGCGTGTGTGTATGTGTGTATATGTGTGTATGCGTGTGTGTGTGTGTGCGTGTAAAAGAAGTGATAATATCAAACTGTCAGATGGAGAATGTTATGCCTGAGGGACATGATGAGGCATCAGCAGGCCTGGAGGTCAGCTGTGTACTGTCATCACATTGTTTCCTGCCCTGACTTTAGCTGCGTTTCAGTCACACCAATCAAGTTTCAGATTTATGCATCCACTTTTGTCTCTAGAGGGAGATCTGAGGACAGATGCCCATCCATTGAGAGAGAGAGAGAGAGAGGCCTCCATGGACCACCTTGGCTCCGTGGATGATTGGCTCTCAGCAGTCGTTTCCTCCTCTAGCCAGGATATCTGTGAGACTTTTCTATTTCTAGATTCAAGGATGACGGCACAGGGGAGTGCCTAGAAATGTTATGTTTTACCAAACCGGAAGAAAGGCATTTACCTGTTTTAAGATTTGTGTTACACGGAGGAGAGAGAGACCCTGAAAGTGGAATCTCTTGGAATTTTTGTTTTGTTTGCTATAGTTACATAACAAACAATGTATCTTGCAATGAAAAGAAAATACAGATTAAGAAAGAACAAGGACTTCAGAGAAGAACTAGAAGCCATATCAGAAGGGGTAGCTGATTAAAGTTGGAAATTTAAAAGTAATTTTTTTAATCACTCCAGTCCCAGACCAACTTGATCGTTGCCCCAATAAACCTCTCTGCTGTTGGACCCATGAACAACCTTGACAACAGCAGTGGACTTGCTGCTGTGACTGAAGACCGCAAACTGGGTCAAAAGACTCTTATCAGGAAATCTACAGAAGGGGCGCTGGTAAGGATTCCATAGAAGGGGCTGCCAGCAGCTACCACCAGAGCCATCATCAGTGCATATCCAGAAAAGGTGAAGCTGTAGAAACTACACACAAACTCTGAACAGTTCTTTGGGCACTGCCCAGCTAGCGCCAGCTCCTGCCTCTGTAAGAACACAGCAACCGTAGCTGGTCAGAGTTTACCTCAGTTCTCCACATAGAAAAGAGGAGAAACAGCCTTCATACGGTGAGGGGTGGGGGTGGTCATATGAGAACTGGTCATTTAAAAACAGCACGGAGTGCAGCCCAGACCAGGACCAAGGGTAAAGTGGCAGATAAAGCCACAGAATGGAAACCAATACTCAGGCCAGTATCTCTTATGTTCCAACCCAGCTCTCCTGCTCTCCTACAGCTATTATTTGTCAGAAACTCCATTATCTCCTCCTTTCTCTGTTCTCAACCCTGCCTATACAATATAGATATTTATCTCTATAGTTCAGGCCACCATACCCCCTGCTCCTCCTTTCTCTCTTTCTTCTTTTTAGTTTTCCTTCCCTTTTTTTCTTTCCCCCCATACTCACTCCTCTCACGGTGACAGTTCCCAAATCCCAGAGGCTGCCCTGGTGTATGGTACTGAGGTTACCTCCTTCCCTCCTCTTTTGTAGACATATAGGAAGGAGAATGATTTTATACAAAAGGCAAATAAAATACCTTTAAAACCACAGGAAAAAGTCTCTCAGACATCATGGGCTATCAGATAAAAAGCTGTGTGCTAGGATTGGGCTAACTCTTAGCAGGGGTGGGGTGTTGGTCAATGGGGTTTCATGGACTCCCACAGACATTACAAGATATTGTCACTGACCTTGGTTATCCTTAAGATCTAGACAACAGCACCCGATTGCCAGAGAAACCAC